CCCCCCCCCCCCCCCCCGGGTCCTACCCCGCCACCTCACAATGAGTTCTGCAGAGCAGAGACCGGCTCACCACAGCCCAACACAAGCCTGCTTGGGCAATCGTGCACAAAGGGGCTGTCTTCTCTCTCCAGAGCCAGCTCCCCGCCCCCACGCCCTGGCACTGTGTCTCTGCTTCCTTTCAGTGACTGGCCCCTTCTCTTTCCTTCCCAGTGTCCTCAGGATTTCTTTCCGCTCCAGTTTTGGAGACCTGCTCAAAGTTCTTCCCAGCAAACTCTCCGGGAATATCTGACTTTTACAGACACATAGGCCTTTGGGGAAAGAAAGGAAGCCATGGAGTTGAATGGTGCCAGCTGAGACACCAGCCAGTGGGTGAGGAGACATTTGAGCAGGTGTGGGGGGATGAGGGTGGTTCCTGGCTCCTGGAAATCACACCTTGAAGCCGGCATCTCCTCTGCTGTCTTGATGTGCGGGTCCTGATGCTGAGGACAGCCCTGGCCCCAGGCCCCCGCACCAGCATCCCAGCACATTCCCCGGCCCCAGCTCATCACATAATGAAGCGGATAAATTTTATAATGCATGGCACCACACTAGTATATACAATAAAATGCGGAAGACAAATAACGAGGTGCAAGTTATAATGAAGGAAAAGCCTGCAGTCGGAGACATCTGAGTATGAATTATTGACTAAGGTTTTACACTCTCAAGGATGTGCAGAGGAATATTTTTCCATCAAAGATTTGCATAATTCACTCGTATAAACCTGGGTGGAATATAGAGTATGATCTTACATCAACAAGCCAGGGTTTGCAGTGCAGATGCCTCCATTTTTTACTGGAGTGGGGATGGGGGGAGGCACGTGGGCTCTCTCTGTTCTCACCCCTGCCCCAGCTATGAATGACCAGAGGACTGGGGCCCCGGACCCCTGGGTGGGTGGGCCCTGAGGCCTCCATGGGGAGGAGGTATCCTGTCCCTGGAAGGCTGCTGCTGAAGCCAGAGGAGCTGGGGGAAACGTCTGTGCGGTGGAGTGTGTGTGTGTGTGTGTGTGTGTGTGTGTGTAAAGGGGGTGGGGGAAGGGACGAGCCTCAGCAGAGGTCAAAATCCGAGGAAGGGAGGAGAAAGGAAGAGTCTTTCCTCGACAGGAGGGCTTCACAGCTCTGCGCCATAATGAGAGACCTGCAGCGCATCTCTGGTCTGCTCTCCAGTCAGGCCTGTGCTAGCCTGGCCAGGGCCTGTCTGTGGATTACAAAGGCAACCTCTGGCTAGATGCAGCCTGGCGCCAGGAGCCACAGCTTGGCCAGTGGAGCAGGGACCAGGTTTCAGACTCCACTTGCCGCTTTGGCTGTGTACTTTTGAACAGTGCACAACCTGTGTACCCACACACGCCCGTCCCACTTCAAGGAGCTTGTCTTTCCAATCAGGTTTGTTCAGAGACAGAGGGGTCCCTGGAGATCCCTGGCCCCTCAGCCTTGTGTGACAACCACAGCTGGGGCCTGGGGCGGGCTCTCTTCACCCTCCCACCAGCTGGCTATTTATTAGGCAGTGAGCACCACACAGCACAACCCGACACTCTCTTCACAGCCCCCAGCTCAGGGCTAGTTCAGGGGAGCCCATCTATGGAGAAGGGGAGAGAAGCTTGAAGGGCTTGGGGGCTACTTCTGTTGCTGCTGGTTATGTGCCTTCAACACGCTAAGTCAACTTCTCTGGGCTCCGCAGAGCATTTGTGAGGACAAAAGGAGTCCATCTGCGTAAAGTGCATATACGTAAAGATACGTGCACCAAATTACTGGCTTACGATTTCACTTGCCAGCTATTGCACAGAATCACAGGACCCCGGAGTTACAGAGCCCAGATGAAGACCTGCATTGCTGTGTAGCCACTAGCCGCACACGGCTATTGGGCGCTTGAAATGTGGCCAGTCCAAAGTGAGATGTGCGGTAGGTATAAAGAACTCACTGGATTTCAAGAACGTAGGGAGAAAAACAAAAGAACATATAATATCTCATTAATATTTTTATATTAGTTACATGTTAGTATTTTAAATATATTGCATTAAATAAAATATACTATTACATTTAATCTCACCTGTTTCTCTTTTACTTTTTTGTAACAGATCTGAGAAAGCTGAATCTTTTTGTCATTTATTTTATTTTTTTGTTTTAATTTATCAATATACAATGTAGTTGATTTTCATGTCCCTTTACTTTTTTTTTTTTCCTTTTTGTCTTTTTCCGTGTCCGGCAACGGATCGCAACCCTCAGTGTCGCCCCTGTACCGGACCGGGACCGGCAACGGGATCGCAACCCCCGGTGTTGCTCCCACGCCTTGCTCAGCCAGTGAGCGGGAACCGGTCTGTATGTGGGATCCGAACCCTCGGCAGGAGCGCTGCCGCACTTCCCAAGCGGCGCACTATAGCAGTGTGCCACCGGGCCGGCCCGCCTTTACTTTTTTGAACATGTGACAACTAGAAGATTTTAAGTCACTGTACATATATGGCTGGGGCCGGCCTGCCTTTACTTTTTTGAACATGTGACAACTAGAAGATTTTAAGTCACTGTACATATATGGCTGACATTATGTTTCTATTGAATGTCACTGGCATAGATCATCTACACAGACCCTTCCTTTTACAAATGAAGAAACCGGGGCTGCACAGGGAAGCGATTTGTCCAGGGTCACACTGCTAATAAGCAGCACTGCATCTGAA